TGACCACCCATCCATCCATCTTCTATAACCGCTTGTCCAGTCAGGGTCAGGGGGTCCGGAGCCTATCCCAGAGGCTATAGGTGCAAGGCACGGAACGACCCAGGATGGGGACCCAACCCATCGCAGGGCACGCGCACACATCATTCACGCACACGGGTACACCTATGGACAATTTGGTAACTCCAATAACCACAGCATTTTTTTTGGACTGTGTCTGAACACCAGAGTACCTGGGGGGGAAACCCCATGATGACACGGGGAGAACTTGAAAAGTCCACCCTGGAGACTCTAACTTTGGTCCCAGAAGTGTGAGGCGACAGTGCTAACCACTGCACCACTGTCTGACCTCCTTATTGTAGTTAGTTACTTAATAACAAATATTCTACAGATTTGTATTCTATTTAATTCGGTTTAATCTTTGTAGTCTTTGCCTTGTACCTCAGTATCAAAAACTAAAAATAATGCATCTGTAGTTACCATGGTTTTGATGCCCTCAGGAAACAGGAAGCGGTTGTACAGTGAGTCCACCGTGTCATTGGGTTCCACAGGACACTCTTTCTGCAGCAGGATGGGCCCAGTGTCCAGCCCATCGTCGGCCCAGAAGATGGAGAAGCCGGCCTTCTTGTCCCCATGGATCAGAGTCCTAAAGGTGAATAAAAGGAGGACAAAGAACTCGGAGTTACTGGGTTCTGGTTCGGCATGCTAAGCCTGCTCTCTAGCTGGTTCAGATTGCTGGCACTCAATCGAGGTTCAAAGGTGATGGTCCCTTTCATTAAATTCAGTTTGCACTGCATGGTTTTGGGTTCATTGGCTAAAGATGTGACTTCTATGTCACATTTGTTTACTAAACCAAATGGGCACCTGGCTCACCAGTTGATGGCGGAGGCCCCGCGGTGGCGCGGCAGCAGGGAAGGGTGGTAGATGATGGAGCCGTGGGTGGGGTGGTCGATGACGCTCATGGGGATGAACTGGCTGCAGAAGGGCATGACGTTAAGCTCCGCCCCCACCTCCTTATAGGCCTCCACCACCTCTGGGATGGGCTTCCCTTTCACCCGCCAGCGCGGGAACTTGAACACCGGTGTCCCGTCCTTCTCCGCCACCGTGGCTGTGGGGGTGAGGGGGTTTGGAAAGGGGAGGGTGGTTATAAAAATACAAAGAGGCCCAATGTAAGCCGTACTAACAGCGATCTAAAAATCAAGAAATGACAGAACACCATGGGAGGCTAATGGTTCTTTGATTATATTCATCTAACTGGACTCCCGCTTGAACTTTACAGAATTTTATTAAATGCTTCTGTTATAAAGTTAATAAAATATTTTTTTGTTTGTGAGCATGTGGATCAGGTGGAAAAAATGTAAATCCGTCCTTAGACATCTTATAGAAGGCTGGACTATAGATGGAGATGTATATAAATCACTGACAAATATTTGCGTTCTTGTCTGTGTGGAGTTCGCACGCTCTCCCCGTGTCCACGTGGGTTTTCGCCGGGGGCTCCAGTTTCCTCCCACAGTCCAAAAGCGTGCAGGATAGGCTGATTGGTGAGTCTAAATTGGCCCTGTAGTCGTGTGAGTGTGAGTCCTGTGCCCTGCGGTGTGTTGGTACCTGCCCAGGGTTGGTTCCCACCTGCGGATGGACTCCGGTCCCCCCCGTGTCCCCAGTTGGATTAAGCGGTTTCAGAAAATGGATGGATTTTCAAACACGCAAGTCATTCAAAGTGCTTTGTTATTGTTGTTGTTATTGTTTACATAAAAACAAGTAACAGGAATATTTTAGGAAAATAACAGGAAAATGAGTACTATAAAATATGAGTAAAAAAGCATAAACACTGATTAGCAGTGCTTATCAAATGGTCTGTGGAAAAAATATATATAAATGTTTTTTGTCAAACAATTGAACCATAATGATGTAGAAGCAGAGCAAGACTGTGGACTTCACACTGAATCATCTCAACAAATTGTGGAAAACATGCAGAAGTCGCAACATGTTAACGGAACATGTGTCCCACCCCCAACACCTCCAGGAGGGTGAGATAAGATAAGACCATTCCCCAACTGTCAGCAGAATCCATCTGGAACGCTGTCAGGGGTGGAGAGCGGCTCTCGCCTCCGCCTGCCGCCTCACTCACCCAGTGGGTCCGCCTTCCCGTCTTTATCTGGGACTGTGAACACGCCCACAACTTTGTGGCCTTGCTTCCGTAGGCTGGTGTACACCTCCTGTCCGAAGAGGCTCTGGCCAATCAGGGCGAGCTTCAGCTTATTTTGGTAATATGCCTTTGCAGGTCATAGGAAGCAAGAGAAAGACCATCTCTCAGTCGGTAGTTATAAACACGTGTAGATATTCTGGCTCCCGAACAACATTCCACACACTGTGAAATGCTGCCATCTGACTGGCTTTGATAATTTTTAACACCCTGTCAAGAATTTATAATGATATACGGTGTGCCTGAACTACAATTTTTATTGTTGACAAGGATTGTCATATAGGAGTACTCCTTTGTTTGCGTTTAGTGCGTGAATGGCAGGTTAATAACATCAGGAACAGAAAAGTGCCGACTGGGATGAAATGCACTGAATGCAGATCATAAACGGTACGACTATACAATTATAATATCTATACACCCATCCAATTTGATTCGGTCAGCCGGTCCTAGGAAGAAAGGATCGATAAAAGAGGTCTTCTCCTCCCCTTCATATGCTAACTAATGGCAAACCGTTTAATTAAGGCACCCAGGTGAGCATGCATAAAGTGGACAAACACGAGCCTGGGTCGGACCCTGCAATCCTTACGCTATTTTTAGGTCTTCGACGAGAAGCCCTTTACACATTGAACAAGTATACAACTTGACTGTTAATAAAACCGAAATGAATGACAGTAAATGGCATTACTTCATTATTATAACACACGATAACTATCAGATGTTTATCTCTGTTATGGTAATGCAACCCACTTCGTGCAATATACCGTATGCTAGCCGGCTCCGAAAGGCGGCGTGTGCCGACGGGCGCCGTAATCCCTTCGGCAGGCGGCGCGGTGCAACGTGGCGAAAAGGCGACGCAGATGTGGGACCGACTCGCCGGAGGGGCCAGCGGAGATGTGCACGGCAACCAAAGCGCCACATAAACCGATGGGCATTTTACAGAAAGGGCGATGCACTGCATCCCATTCACGAGACACGAAGCAACGCAAACACGGCGCGCGACGTTACTGAAACTGAAATTCCCCCCAAAGAAATTCAAGCGATTTACTCACGGTGCTAGTGGAGAGTTTCCTAATGAATTGGTTAGCTGTCCACAACATGACGGCGCAGAGGGGGGGGGGGGCTTTAACAGATGATTTTTGTTAATCGGAGGCTGGACGTGGTGCGCCCCTCGCAGCGTACACCTGCCTGGCAGCGCAATGGTGACAGTGTGACAGAACCTTAAGTTACCTCCGCGTCCCCCGGACACTACACTCGGGGACGTGCCGGCCTGCGTGCGCGCCTACGATTTCCTTCTGGCTACCGTGTGCTCGCGCGGCCACTGTGAACCGCGCGGGAACGAAAGTCGTGTATTCTGCAGTCCAAATGTTTCATCAGAAATATTTCATCAGTCTACGTATCTATATCGAATTGCAATCAGTCAGACCGCGCAGTTAACATCGCTGCCAAGGCTGCATCTTGGCGAAGCGCCCCCCCCCCCCTAGTTGTTTTAGGAATGAGTGTATATCATTGGTTTACAGTGTACAGCCGGCGAGTTTACGTAACAGGCACAGGGCCAAGGGTATGAAATGCGCGCTACCCTGCACTCTATTGGTCCCACCCCCAGCCCCAGCCCCTGATGCAAGCGGATAAGACCTTACAACATCCACCAGTCATACAGTACGGGACGCACCAGTGATATTTTCCATTTGCATTGCAAAAAGAAATACTGAATAATTTTGTAGGAGTTAAATTGACAGCCGAAACGACATAGTTACATAAAAAATTCTGAATCTATATTTCCAAATTGTATTTGTGGAACAGTAGCATCAACAAATGGACGTTATGTTTAAATACTGGTCGCTGCTTAAAACTAGCGCAAGACGTTTAAAGGCTCATTTTTAAATCCCATTTTTTTTGTTCTTAAATGATAAAGTTGAAAGAATAAGGAGCCGCCAATTTATACCTCTATACTTTATATCCTTTGTAAAATAGATCAAGTTATGCTGAATGTCACTGCAAACAGTTTAATGTTGAAACTGATTCTGTGTAGTAACCTTGTAGTGTATGATGAACGCAGAAAAGGTCATCAACGCGAACACATGGCTTTGCTGGATAATTCCTATTTGATCCAGCAGCTGCTCCAGTTCCCAGAACAGGAACACACGTTACCGCAACGTTATCAAACGGCTACCTGCCTAGTGCGATCCCACCTGTAGCAGGTCTCAAGCTTTGCCATCCAAAAAGGAACAGAATGCCTGCAGAGATATTCTGTATTCCCTCAAGGATCCATTCTCCCATCTGGTTACGGGCAATGACACAATTTATTATTATTATACAATTTATATTATAATCCTGAGTATTTGATTGGTGTATCTCATCTTTATTGCATAATATTTTACTGTTTATCATAGATAGTATTGTTTAATGCTTGCATGCTGAGGAATACATGTCACCTTTCATGAATGCACTTTTTAAATTTATGTTCTGAACACATACAGTACATAAAATGGTTCTTTTAGTTGCTTTAACCGTTGTGAAAGCCAGTTAAAAACCATTATATGCCAGTCCTAAAAAAATGCTTGGTTGCCATTGCAACACAAAAGTGAAGATTCTTCTAAATGTATAGTGCATATTTTTCTTACTGTGGTATATGCATGCTACCTAAATTTAAGAAATTCTACATTTATTACATTAGAACTGCTAATACACGTAACTCACTCACTCACTCATGCATTCATTCATTCATTCATTCTAAAAATGTTGGCAGTATGAGAACTACATTTCCCAGGAAGGCGGGACCGGAAGTCATGCGGCTCGTCACGCGACATTCGCCCTCGGCGTTGGTCTTGGTTGTCGTTTCTACGTCTGAACCCACTGTCACTAAAGGGCTGGTGTGATGGCGGTGGAGGCGTTAACTCCGGACTGGGAATTCGACCGCTTTGACGACGGGTCTACGAGTGAGCCTTTTAAAAATGTCCTGCGACTACGGTTACATTATTATTGGCCATGGAATTATGATTGACTTTGAGCAGGAGACGCTGGACTTGAACTGCTAACTAGTTAGCATAACACAGATTTTTTATCATGCAACTGAAAACGTTTTATTGGTGATTTCTTAGCCAGGGTGAATATGTGTGTAAGGCACAAGCTTAACGTTTTAATTACGTTTGTATTGTACGTATGATGCAGCTCCTGCTTGACTGATGTGAAAGTCATACTCATGATACTGTATTAATCAATTAGCCCACTAAACCGTACTGGCCAGCGCTGGAAATTGTACTTTGTAACCATACGCTTAGTTCTCCTTTTGCACATTTTACGATGCGGAATGGCTGATTTTACGTATTTGTCTGTCTGAACAGGAAGTATCATGCAAATTTTTGCTGTTAGTCGCGTGCATTAACTTTCTATGATTGTACTTTCGAAGTCGGAAATGATCCGATGTTATAAATGCAGTCTGTTAATACCGAAAATCCACACAAGCTCTTCTAATGCGTCACGAGGTGCATTAACCTACGCGTTAAAGGGCTTCCCCTAAAAGACTATACCATGCTCACACCCTTCCTTATTCCCCTGACCCCAGAAATCCACACTGAAGTGCAGCTGAAGAACTATGTGAAGTTCTTGGAGGACTACACATCACAACTTAAGGGCATTGAAGATGCGCTAGATGATTCCATAGGAGATGTTTGGGACTTCACCCTGGACCCCATAGCCCTGAAGGTGCACTGTACACCCCTGTGCACTGCAGCGCTCGTCCCAGGCAGCTTGCGTAGATTGCATGTCGCCCATATATGTAATTGTGTGTGTTTGCTGATGTAGTTCAGGTAGAGAGGTATTCAGACAAGCATTTTCCTAGCATGGTGTTTTACTGTGTCCAGCGTTGAGGGTATGGGTTTGGATTGCCTGTGTTCATAATTATAAATTCATTGTACCTTAATCTGGCACGCTGCCTCTTTCTGATTTGTCTTTAATATGTCATCTTAATATGACATCTTGCTGTTTTTTTGGTGGTTCGCCGTGACTTTTAGTGCTTTTTGGAACATTTGACAGCCGCATGGTCCAAATATTATTTTAAGTATTTTGATTTTACAATAAGCATGAAGTATTTGTAAGGATGAGTGGCTGAATGTTTAATCGGTTCATAGCATTTCATTGGAAGGGTTAAAAATGTAGGGAGACGCATTGCTGTAATGTGATATGAAAGACAGACGCTCATGTCTGAGGTTTAATGTCTTGCATCTTTTTTTTCTTTTGTTGCCCAGCTTCTCCCCTATGAGCAGTCGTCTTTACTAGAGTTGATCAAAACAGAAAACAAGGTAGGGAATTTCTGTTGATATTAAATGATGTCCCGTCTTCAGCTGTAGGCTGTCCTGTCTGCTTCTTTCTTTGAGGTAAATATGTGCTTTGAACCTGCTCTGTTCTCAGGTTCTCAACAAAGTCATAACTGTGTATGCTGCCCTCTGCAGTGAGGTTAAAAAGCTGAAGTATGAGGTGGGTATTTCACATTTTTATTTGTTAGTCTCGGCCGTTCATAAAAACAGTTTTTCCTCTGAAAACTGCAGTAGTTAAGTACAATAAGTTGTGCTCTCAACATATTTATGTGTTGAGATCTCAGTTCACTGCAAGTGTTGGTGGCCAAGTCAAATTTGCTTCACAAACCCTAGCATTTCCTGTGTTATAAGCCATAAATATGCAGTGCTTAATACTGTGATCTATTTCTCACTCTGTAGGCAGAAACAAAGCTGTACAGTGGTTTGCTGTACTATGGAGAAGGAGGTGAGTGTGTGAGAATGAACTGCTTTGTCTGATTAAGTAAAAACAGAACGAAGTGGCATTTTTTGTGTGTGTGTCAGCTAAAATGGGAATTGTGCTTTGACACTTTCACTGTATCCTGCGAGAGGAATACCCTCCAGGATGCACTGTATTTTGCACTGCGATTTGCAGCGGGCTTAGCTGAGCTCGTGCCTCTCGGCCCTGATGTCCATGTTAAGTCACCGGTGTCTGTGATTGGTCTGAGTCTCAGCAGCCTGGTTGGCTGTTTCCTTCCAGTTCCGGACGCCAGCATGCTGGAGGGAGAGTCTCAGATCCAGATGGGCCGTTTCATTTCCTTCTTACAGGTAAGTTTTTGTGGTTCGTGTTGTGTGGGCATCCTGAAGCCTTTTAGAATTGCACGCATATTGTTTTTCCTAATTAGAGCTTTAAATACATTTTTTAAATGCTGAACATTGTTTTAATACCAATATGTACATTTTATGTTTTATCTATTCCACATTAGTAGCTACTTATTTTTTCCTCTCTTTAATATTTGCATTTATCTATGATAGATAATATATTATAGTATAATTCCTTCTGCTGTTCTATTGTTTTTCGTTTTTCATTTCTCCTTGTTTTTTGCGGCATTGTGGGCAAACAAAATAAGAATTTCATTGTACACCTGACAATAAGTTGCATGAATCTTCTGCCTCAGGAAGGTCTCCAGGCACTGATGCGTAGATGATTTGCTAAAGGATTGAACAGATTTGGAAAAGAATAGTCTCCAAATATCGCCGTAGTAGAGTAGTCTTTGGGTCGTGCCTGGGTTGAGTTGTCTGCTGTTGGCGTGTCTGTGTGTGGAGCTGAGATGCTTCGTGTACACTTGGTCCGTCAGGAGCTGTCCTGCTTCGTGTCTCGCTGCTACGAGGTTGTGGTCAGCGTGGTCCATCAGCTGGCCTCTCTCTACAACAGCAGCAAGTGAGTAGCAGTGTATCCACGAGGGCTCACCGCGGACGCGGGGAATCGGGGACAGCCGTTGCCGTGGCAACACCCCGGCGGACAACACACCTGCCGTAGCTTCATTGAGGCCAAATCTGTGGGAAATGCAACGGTTTCTGTTTCCTTTTTAGGAATGCAACAAAAATTATCGAATCATCTGGAGTTCACTTTCAGGTAAACAGTTCAGTATTTGATTATTTATATTGATTATTTACTGCTGCCTTTTATTTCTTGTGCATATCCCCGTACAGTCCCCTCACATATCCGATTATCCATAATCCATCCGTCCTGCTTTCGTACATGTCCCTGAGACTGCATTGCCTCTCTTATTTTTGATTGCTCCTTTCCCATCCATGTTCCTTTGTGTCTCCCTAACCTCCCGGGTGCGGGGCTCCTGCCTGTGTTTCCCCGCAGACCGTGTACGAGCACCTGGGGGAGCTGCTGGTGGTGCTGCTGACACTGGATGAGATCCTGGAGAACCACGGCACTCTGAAGGAGCACTGGAAAATGTACAAGAGGTGAGGAAGAGGTCCATCTTCTGACCTCTTATCTGGGGGGGGATAGGTGGAGCCTATTCGAACAGAATTCGAACCCGCGACTATAGAGGTGTTAGGCAGCAGTTTAACCACTATGTAGAACACACACATGGAAAGCATTACTATCATTGGTGTTGTTGCTGTTTATTAGAATTGATGGTTTTCATGTCTCCATGATACAACAACTGCAGCCTTTCCCAGGCTGTCCAGGGGTCTTGCTCTGGCTCTGCATTCTTACTGCTTTACTTGCCCAGGTTACTGAAGTCGGTCCACCACAACCCCTCTAAGTTTGAGATCCAGGAGGAGAAGCTGAAGCCTTTTGAGAAGCTGCTACTGAAGCTGGAGGGACAGCTGCTGGACGGGATGATCTTCCAGGTGAGGAGCATCTTATGGTGCCGTGGGCTGCGGTTCTTACATCAGGCTCAGGGTCAGTGGGTTGTGTTTCAGTGTTCAAATGGGAGATCAAATCGTATAATGTCCTTACATCTCGGATGCTTGATTTTTATATCTCATCATTAATATTCCTTCTGTGTCCTTAATTGGTCTTAAAACTAGTGTTTCTTGTGGTTTTTATTTATTAGTCAGGGAATATTGGATGGATTTGGTGTTTTCTGTCCAAAGTTAAGGACCATTACAGCTTTTAGGATTGAAAAGAGACACGTCTGTTTCTCTCAGGCTTGTGTGGAGCAAAGGTTCGATGACCCCGGGGTGGGTGTGGCCGTCTCCAAGAACAGCGCCTTTGCAGAGGAGTTTGCCCACAACATACGGACCATCTTCACCAACGTGGAGTCCAAACTAGGTGCCATTTTCTTTACCTTAAAAAAACGTTGTTGGGCCAGTATCGCAGGTATAGAGACGGTTGTGGCGTTTTCAGCATAACATATGGAAGAAATTAGTGTGTTGTTGTTGGATCTCGGCGAGCTTTTGTAGAATAATGAAGCATTGCTTAGTCTCGCTGAATCTTGGACACTGATGGCTTCCTGTATCGATTTTAGGGGAACCGTCTGAGATCGACCAGAGGGACAAGTACGCCGGTGTCTGTGGCCTCTTCGTGCTACACTTCCATATCTTCCGGACGGTCGACAAAAAGCTGTACAAAGGCCTGCTGGATGCCTGCAAGAAGGTGGGGGTGGGGGGGGGGGGGCAGGATGGCTTTAGTTTGCTAGGGGGGGTCACTGAACAGGGCTGTGGACGAGAAGCAAGGTTGGGAATTTAAGATTGGGAGCTTCATGTGGAACGCTCCGGAATCCACCATTAATTAAACCAACTCCAGCATCCGATAATTTCGCAAACTGTGACAGCCTTTGCCCGACCTGTGTGGATTGTGTTCTGCCACTGGAACGGTCCGTTCGCGTGTGCTGGGTCTCATCCCGGTTCGGAGAAGGTGTAAATGTAGGGCTGTTTGTTTGACCGCCAGCATCCCGCGGTCTGATGCCTCTCCCCCCCCCCCAGGTCCCTGCTGTGACGCTGACGGCCAACATCATGTGGTTCGCAGACACCTTCCTGGTGCAGAAGGTCCCCGCTGCAGCCAAACTGATTGACAAGAAGAGCCTGCAGATGGTGCGGTCCCAGAGAGAGGCCTTCCTACAGCAGAGGGTGCAGACACTCCCCAAGTAGGCCCCCCCTGCCACGCCATTGCTCCTCCGTCCCTCCTTCTCTTCTCTTCTCTTCTCTTCTCTTCCCCTCTTCCCTTCCCTGTCCAGCCTTGGCTCCACGCTCCCTTGTTTTCATTTCTCCGTCGCCCCTCCCATCCTTTCCCTGCTTCCACACTCTCTTCTTTTACTCCCCAGCGTCCTGCTCCACCGTCATTCACCTGGCGGCACGTTCTGCTGTCGTCCGTCTCTCCCTTCACCTTCCTCTCTTCCCTGCAGCCTTACCGCGTCTCCCCGAGTACTCCGTCCTTGCGTTCCTTCAGTCAGACTCATCACCGTGCACTATGTGGGTTGTTGTCTTACTCTGGACTGGCTCCCTGTATGGGGATTTTGACGTGGGGTGGGGGGGGTGATGATCAGACAGGGCAGCCTTTGTGGAGCAGCCCCTGGAGGACCTCCAAGTGGTGTAGTCATCCCTGCCTCTGGGCCCGTCGGGGAGAGAAAGCAGATGAAGCCCATTCACTCTCTCCTGCTTCAAAACACCAGCATTAGCTGTTGGAAAAGCATAGCTGAGACTGACAGCTTGATAATACCAGATTCTTTTATTTTTCTTTTATTTTTTTACAAGATTAATTACTTAATGCGTTGACTTCTTTATTTATACTGTCTTGCAGGGCATAAATAGTCAAACTGAATATTGTAAAAAAATACCGTTTAAAAGTTCTAAATATGATTTAAAGGAGTTGCAATATAGAAACACCTCTTACAACATAAAATCATTTCAGCTAATGTAGCTGCATTGTGTCGCTCTCGTTATATCGGTACGTGAACATCGTATGGCATGTGAGAACTGATGAGCATAGGTATTTGACTGAGGTGAAGTATTAATTATATTTACACAGCTTCCCCTAGTACAGAACTACTCAAATCACGGTCCTCGAGGTCCGAGCCCTGCTGGTTTTCCAGCCTTCCTTTACCTGTGAGCCGGGTGTGAAGCCTCTGACCAATCAGAATCAGTAATTATTAAACTAACTACCTGGGAGAACGGAAAACAAGGCCTGGATTGGGAATCGAGGTCCAGATTTGAAGAACCCTGCCCTTGTATCATGGTTTTTCTCTTGTAATTTTTGTTGTACAGGGATGTCCAGTCTTACTACGTGTTTGTCACCTCCTGGATGATGAAGATGGAGTCCATTTTGTCCAAAGAGCATAATGAGAAGTTCACAGAGGACCTAAGCAGTCGATGTAGCGTCTTTGTTCAGGTAATGACCCAGTCATCTTGAAAAATCCAGAAGGTGGTTTGAAAGATATCAATAGCTATGGTTAAGATGCCATTCAGGAATTCCTAAAGATGGATTTTTCACTCACGATCCCACAGAAATGGGTTCTGTTAGTGGTCTGAATTTCATTCGCTGTGAATGTCACATGTGACGTTGAAATTTTGATAAATGTGGTGCTAGAATGTAATTCTACACTAGAGAGCTTTTCCCATTTCAGTTCCTTCTGTATAAATGAGGTAAATGACCTCAGAGTAATTGTAGGAAACCGTGTTCTGCTGCTGCCAGAGTTGTGGGCAATCAAGAAATATTTAAGTTTCTGCAGTACAAAATATAGACCCTCTTGAAGAGCATGTGCTTAAAAATTCAACCTATATTCAGCTATGAGAATGTCTTTTTGGGCCTTACTATCTCTCTCTGTATTGGAGGAACCATTATAGGCTGAAGTCTGTTTTTCTATAGGGTATCCTCTACGCCTACAGCATCAGCACTATGATCAAGACCACCATGAACCTGTACATGTCCATGCAGAAACCCATGACCAAGGCTTCTGTGAAGTCTCTCTGCCGGCTGGTGGAGCTGCTGAAGGTGGGTCTCTCTCGGGCACAATTGCGTATCCGTTCTGGCCTCTGCCTTCCAGGGTTAGCAGCGCAGAGCATTTGCGGGTCTGTGCTGGTAGCATTCTGTAGGGGACTGTGTTTGCATGCATCCGACTGCACAGAGCATGTCCTGTATTTACCTTACATGTGTTGGGAGTGACACTGTGGTTAGACTGATCTCAGCGATGCCCCCCCCCCCCCCCGGTCTTGCTCACCACAGGCAATCGAGCACACCTTCCACCGGCGTTCTATGGTGGTGGCGGACTCCGTGACGCATATCGCGCAGCAGCTGCAGTCGCAGGCTCTGGCCGCCATTGCAACAGCCAAGGTGAGAAGCGGTGTCCTGGCGGGTCCGTCTTCTAAGCACTGAGTGCCTTACCGGGGAGGGGGGGAGGCTCACTGCTGCCTCCTGCTGGACAGGCTAAGCGCATCCGTCACCCTTCCTTTACAGAAGCGAGTGATCTCCGATAAGAAGTACAGCGAGCAGCGTCTGGACGTGCTGTCGGCCCTGGTGCTGGCCGAGAACACGCTGAACGGACCCAGCACCAAGGAGCGCCGCTTGGTGGTGTCACTGGCCCTCAGTGTGGGCACGCAGATGGTGGGTCAGGACCGTTTGGGGGTGGGCTAGGCAGGGCTGGGGGGGTGGAAATGCATGACCACTTGGTGGGGAGGTCTACACAAAGACCAGGGTGTTTGTCAGAGTACTAGGCCTAAAATCATTTCTCGTATGTGTCTAATTTCCGATGTATTGACAATTTCCCCCAGGGTTGAATAAGGTCCATCTTAATCTTAATCCTAATTCACAGAAAACATTCAAGGATGAGGAGTTGCTGCCCTTACAGCTGGTGCTGAAGAAGCTGGACCTCATCAGTGAGATAAGAGAGAGGTGACACGGGGTTGGTTTTGTTCTTTTAGTTTAACATGCCTAAGGATCACGCAACTGCCCCTATTGGTCTGATTTTCACTCATTCATTAATAATCTAGCATTTCATATGTGTACCTCGGAACTGTGGCAGCCATGTGAGATAATGTGACATGTTTGTAGCTGTAAAAGAATGCCCTATTCACTCTGCCTCCTATTCACTCTGCCTCCTGCCTCCTATTCACTCTGCCTCCTGCCTCCTATCCACTCTGCCCCCAGAGTAAAGGTCCAGTGCGACTGCAGCTTCCTCTACTGGCACCGCGCCGTCTTTCCGATTTACCTGGACGACGTGTACGACCACGCGGTGGACGCCGCCCGGATACACGTGAGCCGTACTCTTACTTAAGTGCCAGTGAGGCTCGTGATTGGCCGATGGCCTCTCTTGCTTCACTATGATTGGCCGGCGGCCTGTTAGCGACGCCTCTGCGGGTGTTTCCCCCCAGTACATGTTCAGCGCGCTGAGGGACTGCGTGCCCTCCATGCTGCACGCCAGGCACCTGGACACCTGTGACCAATTGCTGGAGAACTACGACAAAGAGATTATGGAGGTCTTCAATCAGGTAAGGAGAGAAGGTCTGCTGAAGCTTGTTTGATGGAACTCAATCGCTGCCATTTTCCTTTGCTCTAGCATTATATTTATCATACTTATTCTGCTTTGGACAATGTTTTCCATCCATTCATTTATTCATCTTCTAACCACTTTTCCTGGTCTGGATCCTGGAGCAAATCCAAGGCAGCCTGGGCACAAGGCTCTGGATGTTATTTTGTCGTCTTAATTCCCCTCTTTTTTTTCCTCCTCATCTGGCAGCACCTGCTGGACAAGCTTTGTAAGGAGATTGAGAAGGACTTGAGGCTCTCTGTCCACACCCATCTCAAGCTGGACGACCGGAACCCCTTCAAAGTGGGCATGAAGGACCTGGCCCACTTCTTCTCCCTTAAACCTATCCGCTTCTTCAACCGCTTCCTTGACATCAAAGGTATGTCTCTCCAGTCAACAGTTTCTCTTGCCCCCCCCCCCCATCCCCAATGTAG